GAGCTACATCATCTCGATCTTTTCTTTTAATTTGCCCTTTGTTTTCAACGAACTGACAATGACTATTTTTCTCTTTAATGAACAGCACCCAGCATCAAGACGACTTGTACCTCAAAGACTGTAGCCTTCGGCGACAATGCATCTCCACAGTTGCTTTCCTTTGTTGCACTTCTCCGACATCTGTGCAAGTTATCCATCTTCTGTCTGACGTCTTCCCCAAGTCCTGCTTTTATCTCCGAATGATACTCCAGTTTCAATCCTTATGTCTTACCTCGCACTCACTGTTGGCTGATCCCAACGTTTGCCTCTCCCCGAAACACATTCGAATGCAAATCCACCTCTCCTTTATTGCGAGCGTGCCTATGATTCATTCTACATGTCATTTTTGATCATTTCCCCTTATATGTGCATTCCATATTTATACTTTCCAAACTAGAAGAGTCGGCTTTGTTATAGTGACTGACTAGACTACAAGTCTAATTCGGTTTTGTGTTTGCGGACGAATGAACATGGGAATGTTTTGCATAATAAACTCTATGCTACTTAAAGAAAATAAGTACAACGTGTATTAAAGCGCAAAAGATCACTTCATTCATCGAATGCACTGCGAAGCCTAATCACAATAAATTAATTCGCCGATGGCCTCAACAAGTGCGGAAAAGAGCAAGTGATTTGAGCTTGTTAGTGAAAGCCAAAGAGCTCACGTTTGGATTAGATTAGACTGCAAGATTATCCAAACAAATCTACTAATATTGCCTTGACTTACACGAATTGCTCCTGAATCATTCTCATCAATAATGGTGAATTTTCTTAATCCTTTCTAGCAAAACCTTCTTACCAATTAAATATGCTAATTTAGTCATCAACATTTCAGCATCTTCTGTTTCAATTAAAGAGTCGGTGGGAAGTGTATCTAATTGCAACTTTAATTTAATAAGAAATATTTATCTTTCCTGCAAAATGGTATTCTCATCACTTTCTTCTGTGTAGATGGCTTAGGGTGTGTATTTTTAGGCCTTCTTTTAGGCGAGATCAAATTACAAAACTACAGAACCTGCGTTATTCACTTTCTTTTCGTATCCACAATCTACGATTCGGAATCATCACCAGTTGATCGCTGTAGTTAGGTGGAATGACAGATGTGGTAGAGCCATAAAATCATCTCGAATGGTAGTCGTGGAAAGGCTTGAGAGAGGAACCTGATAAGAGAGGAATAGTATTTCCTGTGAGAGAGTTTGCGTGGTCGGTTTCAGTTAGTACAAATATTCCAACAATTTTAGGTGTAGCGCAATAGTCTCTACGGCTTTTCAAAGTTAATCATTCCAAATTTTCTATTAATTGAAAAATCCATTTACAGATTTCTGACAGAAGACACTTGACAGAAATAGCAGTTTGCAACTCGATAGAAATAATGTGGAATGTTCCTATATCAGAATCGAAGCAGCTGCCAATTTTGGTTACTCCACTATTTAGTCTACGCAGAAATGCGATTGTGGTGATTTGTGACTTTCACAATCCAAAACAAGTCTAATTTGCTTAATTTCAGTACATGAGTACTTAAACACCAATGTTGAAAATTTTGACGTTTCTAATGTTGGCCTTTAACTGTCAGTTATTTCTGCTGGGTCAAGCCGTTTGAAATGGAAACAATAAATGACCCAGAAATGACGCAGAAATGGGGTAACTCTCACATTCACACAACAAGTCTAATTTGCTTAATTTCAGTACATGAGTTCTTAGACTCCGAAAATAGTCATTGGTATTTTGGCTTTGCCATTGTAGGAAATTTTCACATTTCTAAAGTTGGCCTTTAACTGTCAGTTATTTCTCCTGGGTCAAGCTGTTTGAAATTGAAACAATGAATGACCCCCTTCCACTTACCCAACTAGGCTTTGCTTTAGGTACCGTACTACTTAAAGCTAACTTGTCAATGACATGGGACGATTCTCCTACAACCATAAGTGCAAATAAACTTCAATCCTATGACCTGAGGTTGCATGGCATGATGTTAGGATTTCAAACAGAATGTAGAATGACACAGTTGTATTCATATTATGGTTTCCTCAAAAACGATATCAAATGAAAATAAAACGAAAATTGTCAGGGGTTTGGTCAAAATATCATTCTCTTACTTACTTCGTCAAGGTAGTGAGAATATGACCAATGAAAACAGTGTTCCCAGTGGCATTCTCAGAATTATGAGATCATGAGTCTACCTCCAAGTGGTGCTCAGACTGTGAGCATAATGGCCATCTCAAGAGATAAATATGTCACCCTTTCCAAAAAGGGAGACTATGGATGAAACTCTTTTCCAGATGTTGGAGAAATCGATCATTTTTGTCTGGTTAAATGAGAAGGAAAGAGACTGCCCAATCACAAGATTGAACATACACTGTGATCACAAGTATTCACGGGATAAATGTTCATTAAAAATATTACCAAAAACTGTTAGACAGATAGTGGAACAGAAATAACACGTCTTATCTGTTCCTCCTCTATTTTATGAGCACTCCAGGACTGGACGCCATTGGAATAAATGTCCGACTTCAAACTAACTCTACCCGACTGTATGTCATATTCGACCCCATAACACAATACTCACCTTACCTTTTCTCTACCTTTGTGTCTGTCTCTCATAAATCTGTTTATCATTCTTCCTTTGTCAATCTCCACTTTTTACGAATTTGATGTTCCTCTCATCTGTGAATTCCGAAGCCAACTAAAGGACTAATGAGAACTATCATCATGCATACATTTTGATATAAATAAATCTCAACATTTTGCCTAGATACATCATGTGTGCATCGATTATTGCCAAACTAACTCTTACTTTGGTAAAAATATCCTTGAATCTTCTCNTTGTGGGTCACTGCGTTACGCTTGATCACTACGTGGCAGTGATTAGTGATTGTTACTTGACTGAGATGTTTCCACACCCACGATCACACTTGTTCCCTATGAGACAAGAAGCATGTTCACACTTTCTGAACAGTTCGAGTCTGCAAGAGATTGCTTCGTTAGGTGTGGCGTTGTGCTCATATAAGAACGATCTTAACTAAGGAACTTGCTAGCTAACTAACTAACTAACAATACGTACCTCTTTACAGCACCTTTTAGTTGATTTGTGCAGGCCTTAATGAATAATAATTACAATCATGGAACTGGGAACCGACACTAAAGCGAGAGATGACTCAGTTGCATGCACAAACGACTAAGCACCTGGACACTCGAAATTGTGATCACAGGTTGGTAGAGGGAGACTAACAATTGGAAGTCGACAAAGCTGTGCTGGCAGTGCAATTCAAAACTCTGACACATGACAACGGAAATATACAGAGACAAAAATACCTAAGATGAGGGCAAGCCCTCAGTATGCATGTACTCAATGTGTGACTTGTGGGATTCTTTAATTTCTGTTTCACGGTTCAGGCCAAGAAGTTCAATGATGGAGGAGGATGGTTGAGAAATAACTTTTCCGGGCTGTAAGAAATGTTTACAAAAATTTTGAGTACTTTAAAAGCATCACTTGACATAATGAAACGCCAACAGGACTCTCTCACTATCAAAATGCTGCTTTAAAAAATTAAAAGCAGTTAATATAAATGAAATACATGGCCTAGTTATTGCACAAAAATAGTCCTTCTGACTAACTGCATTAGAGAAATACTTCCAATGAAACTGGAAAATGCACATAAATCTTACGTCCTAATTAACACAAATTATTCACTTGGAATGGATGCATCCATCAGTAAATAAGAAGCAGATTCATACGAGTAATTTGAAATGGTAAAGGTGCTAGAGATTGCTCCTACTCTGAACTAATTCCTTCCATCTTTATTCATTACGACATTTTCGATATAACTTGATGAGGGAGATATCCATGCAACTTCCTCTCTTAGAAGACAAACTGTTCATTAAGGGTTTCGAGTAATAACTTTTCCTTTTATTAGAAATTAAAAGTAATGAGTTAAGCTTACTGTTCCTTGTTCCACGTAGTCGATCACTTCGTTTTATGACGATGTTTGTTCTGACAAGGAATCTGATCAACAAATGACAAATTTGGATTAATTGGCAAAACTTGAAGATTTACATGATCACGATTATCATTTTGAGACAAAACTCGGATAATTGTTCACTGACGGCGCAGTAAACAATGATTATTGTTTATCCCCACCTTCTCAATTCTCTCACACAACTATTGAGGATAATTGATTGGTTAGTGACTTCAGTTCAAAAAACGATTTCGTTGTTTTAGGAGTAGATTTAAGACGCTTTTCATCGCAATCGTCTACATAAAAGAGGATTCAGCATGATCTCCTATTTAGGAATTGTGTTGCCTGTTGAAGGTACTGGGGTCATCAAATCTTGTTGTCAGCTCCAACTAGAGTGACACATTTTCCCTAAGTTGTTAGTGGTGAGTTGAGTAGGGTTCATGTGCACCTTGAAGACATACTCACGTCTACATACGCTTTTCCAGCATTCAACTGGCGCTTCTGGGTGCACAAGGCTATAAAATAACAGCTTCAATTGAGGTCATGTTGCACTCCAGACGATTGTCTGATTTACCTCGGTGTGGCCTTTTTCTACATACTTTGGCGTCTTAAGCATAGACATTTATTACGGTTCTATGGGTAAGGAGTTGTTTAAATCATCCAGGAAATTTAAATTAGTCAAAATGTCGTTGACTGACAATGAAGAAAATTCACATTCATTATTTTGATATCTCTTAACTATTTTATCATGAGGCTTTATTCTTAAAAGCGTTGAAAGTTACCTTAGAATTATTTAGTGAAAAAGATTTTAACTTTCTTATGCATCTGTCAAATATATTCGATTCAAATGTTTTGTAAAGATGCTGCTTTCTAATTTAGTTCATTTTTATGGTTAATATTGATATTAACGTTTATATATATATATATATATATATATATATATGTATGTATGTATCAATATATCAGAGCAATTATATATTTATTAAATTTGCTCAGATATATTCATGCATGTGGGCTCTAACTGAACTATTCTTACTCATGACAGATACTACACTAAAATTGTACCCTCTCGACAAATGTTGGTATTGGTGGAATTGTTGGAGTTACGTCTTAGTTGTAGCTGCACTGGGTCTACTTGCAGTGGAAATTTACTTCGAGGATATTGAAAAGAACTTGATAGTGAAAGTATGTTTTACTTTCGTTTTCCTACAATCACATCCAATCCATTAATCACACACACTTCTCCTCCATTTACCACAGAGTTTAATTCTTTCGAATGATTCTCAAACTTCCCAAATACTCACCCAGAAGACCATCGTCGATCTTCAAGTCCACCTCTTCAATATTACGAACTCTGAAGAAGTTGTTGGTTCAGAGGCGAAACCAAAATTGCAAACAGTTGGGCCATATGTATATAGGTAATCGGATTAAAAATGACTACTTTGAAGTTGAGAAATGCTTAATGGGAGCTAAGACATAAGGATTGAAACTGGCGTATCGTTCGGAGATAAACACAGGACTTAATGAAGACGCCAGACAGAAGATGGATAACTTGCCCAGTTATTAGAGAAGTAAAGTCCTATGAGCATGAGTGTTTGAACATTTTCTTTCAGTGTGGCATTAGTAAGCAGTGCTCTACATTCGGATGAATTCTAATACTGTACCAATGAGGAAAATTAGCAAACCCCACCTCCTGTGTACAGATCTGAATTAATTTAATGTTGACGGGGGGAAATCCAGGTCACTTTTGAGCAACCAAAATTTAAAATGAATGTTACTTAACTCAATATATTTCTGCTTTAAATTCAAAATTATTATGTGTGTGTTGTTGCTGTTCTGAATCTTCCAATGGGGGAGCGGCATTTACTACTTCACACTACCTTATCCCCCTCGAAAAGAGGCCTTTTCACATTGAAGGTAAATAAATTAAAAGGCTGAACACAAAAGTAGTCTTTATATCAGCAGACAAATCAATCAAAATAGAGTTGANTTAAAAATCAATGGAAATTTGTAACCTTAATTTAATTTACCGTTTCAAAGTATGATACAGAACTAAATTTTACAAAATGTACAAATTTTGCTTTAAATACTAATTATGCTCAAATTCGCACTAAATATTTCATGTCATATTCGTTATTATTAATAACCATGGCATAAATTTTCAATAAATACTAGTATTGATTCAATATTTGTGCTAACATTATCACCATTTATTAATTAAAATTTCTTTATATTTAGCTGATGTTGTAACTCCACCAGGTTTGAAATTAGGTGACAAGCGCTACATATTCTTTGCTGGTTTATGCCGTTCATTTTCATTCACAGCAACGGAAGCTGTCTTCTCAGAAGATGTTCCTCAATTGAAAGTGAGTACCACTTTACCACTTGCTCGGTTTGACATAATTACTTACTCATTACCACAACGGAGAATGGTGTGTTGTGCACTTGAACCAGCTGACATATGCCGAATGCGTTAATTAGTCACATTGTGGAGAAGGTGTTCAACGAAAAGTCGAACAGGACCACAAATGAAGCCAATACACCAAAGACTCTGTTAATTGGATTCAGGAGGTGTTGTGTGGGCCTATTTCACATAAGGATTAGATTTCACTCTGAACTTTCTAAGCTTCTCGGGACACGAGTTGCAGTGCTTTATATTTTTGTTGTTCTGTTTGAGTTCACTCTCAACATATTCAAATTGCGGTCATGTCAATTTCGATTCGGCTGTATTCTCTGGGATCCATAAGCGGGTAGATGAGATTGGCCTATATTTGAAATTAGGTTTCCACTCATAATTCCAGTAATTCTTGTCAAATTTACTCACTTACCAAACTGTGTTCTTTTATTTGATTTATTGATGCAAATTTCACTGTGACATTTCAGCTACTTAAAATGACGTTGGATAAAGAACAGCTACAAAGTGTTGAAGAGAATCCCGATAATTGGGCATTTCATGACAAAGACACATTCACTGGCAACTTTGCTCCATCCGGATTTGTGCCTTTAAAACGATGTCTTAAAGGTCCTGATGTCCCCATATTTATCTCAATGCCTTATTTCAACCTTGTCGATAATGAAACGAAAAGTGCTGTCATTTTTGAATCTCCACCTGAATCAAACTGGGAGCCCTACTTCCTGCTCGACCCGGTAAGCAGAATTACCCCCATGTCAACCTCTATTCTTTCAGATTTTTGTTCCATTTTTGACATTCGCTATGTTCTCTTAACTAAGCGGAATACTTATTTTCTCTATCGCAGAAAAGTGGATTTTTAATGGGAGCTAATCTCCAATACCAAATCAATATATTCTTGGCAAAAGAGTAAGCACACAATTTCAATTTAATACCAATTGTTCACTAATTAAATATGACATTATTTATCAGGCTAAAGTCGAACTTTTGACTGATTGAGAAAATACATAACATTCGTATAATTATTTCAACTGTCAGGCTTTATGCTATTTATCCTTTGTCCATTTAATTATCTTCGGCTTTCAATCGAGGGTGGAAGGAGGAACATATATTTAGGCTTTAGGACAGTTAACAGTGGTTCAGTAGTTGTCTTCTGGCTTCCCAGTATCTCTGAATTTCTGTCGTTGTCTTTTGGGCTGCTCACCGAATCAGGTTGGTCTTCTCCATTTCCTCTTGTAGGACACATTGGGCACGTTGGTTGAGGGCATACGCATATTATGTGAAGGTGCGTCGCCAGACGACCGTGTCCGATATGCAGTCTAAAATCTGCAACAGCTTCGAATCTTGGCCAGTCGGATATGATGGAGAGTCTTAAGTTCGTTGCACCTTAAAGTCTTCAATTCCCTCCTGATTAGGGTCTTAATTTCGTGTAAAGTTTTGCGTGAGATGTTCAGAAGATCGAAGTTGGGTCAATTCTGGGGTGGATTATAGACCGCCTATTCCTTGAAGTGGTTTTGACACTTTCAAACATGTAACCTGATTATTTTGCACACATCTTAAATCGAACACATGTTCTTGATTATTTCACAATGTGTTGTAAGACCACCTTTTACGCCAGTCGAAACTTACTATTTTCCGGTCATTAAGAAGGAGATAAAATTCGTAGCATTGGAATTGGCAGTATTCGAATTTGTCATCCGTAAGTATGGATTCCATGGATTGTGAATATGTTTGCATCATAGATATGCATGATTTTCTGGATTTGGATATTCTTGTCTTGTCCTATTAGAGTTTCGTTTCTGGCTTGTCGTAATAGTTTGAAGTCAACTGCCAAGCAATAGACTTTTTCAGTATGAGTACACATTGTCGAACAGATTTAAAATGTTTATTATTTTTCGAACTAAAAATTCATCTGGAAAATTTACTCTCTAATGAAGGAAATGAATGAACATCAGTATACTATCCATGAAAGTTCTGTGAACTGGACAATTTCATGGATTTTTTCCTTGTAGAGAGAAGAAGCTTGGAAAAGATCTCTACATCCCACTTGTCTTCATTAAAAGTGTATGTTTAATATTAATTCGATTTTTATAATATTTATCATTTTACAATTGCCATCAGAGCATGAATATGAAGCTTCATCTAGAATGACTTAAATAGAACATTTACTAACACAGTGATGATTGAACGATCACCTATAAGTGATCAAATTAGATACAATGACAGATCTAATTGTGCTCTAGGCAGAGCTTTTTTATTTTCTAGTTAGTCCAGTTTCTTAAGCAGTTATTAGGAGTACGAGTATTGGGAGCATTTTCCAATCTAAACAACGTTAAGAATTTCAGAGAGTGGCGATTGATATAAGGTGGGGTGTGGACAGGAGTGGGGGTGGGGACGAGAATTATTGGTATGGGAATTGTGGGGGAGGGGGAAATCAGATGTTCTAACTTTAATAACTTTGAATGCTCAATGACACATGTTTTTCATGCATTTCAGTTGATTTCTGTGAAAAAGGAGGATGCCCAAAAACTCTATTGGCTGGCCTACGAAGTACCCGTAATATTCCGAACATGTCTCCGACTCACTATTGCTTTCTTATTTTCACTTGCAACATTGCGCTCCCTAATCGCAGTGTACATCAAGTACTTTGGAACCAGGGTAGAAGAGAAGCAGAATTGTGAAATAACTTCCTCGCAAAACGAATTGGCACTGACTGATTTTGCATTCTCAACTCTATTTTGATTGATTTGTCTGCTGATATAAAGACTACTTTTGTGTTCAGCCTTTTAATTTATTTACCTTCAATGTGAAAAGGCCTCTTTTCGAGGGGGATAAGGTAGTGTGAAGTAGTAAATGCCGCTCCCCCATTGGAAGATTCAGAACAGCAACAACACACACATAATAATTTTGAATTTAAAGCAGAAATATATTGAGTTAAGTAACATTCATTTTAAATTTTGGTTGCTCAAAAGTGACCTGGATTTCCCCCCGTCAACATTAAATTAATTCAGATCTGTACACAGGAGGTGGGGTTTGCTAATTTTCCTCATTGGTACAGTATTAGAATTCATCCGAATGTAGAGCACTGCTTACTAATGCCACACTGAAAGAAAATGTTCAAACACTCATGCTCATAGGACTTTACTTCTCTAATAACTGGGCAAGTTATCCATCTTCTGTCTGGCGTCTTCATTAAGTCCTGTGTTTATCTCCGAACGATACGCCAGTTTCAATCCTTATGTCTTAGCTCCCATTAAGCATTTCTCAACTTCAAAGTAGTCATTTTTAATCCGATTACCTATATACATATGGCCCAACTGTTTGCAATTTTGGTTTCGCCTCTGAACCAACAACTTCTTCAGAGTTCGTAATATTGAAGAGGTGGACTTGAAGATCGACGATGGTCTTCTGGGTGAGTATTTGGGAAGTTTGAGAATCATTCGAAAGAATTAAACTCTGTGGTAAATGGAGGAGAAGTGTGTGTGATTAATGGATTGGATGTGATTGTAGGAAAACGAAAGTAAAACATACTTTCACTATCAAGTTCCTTTCAATATCCTCGAAGTAAATTTCCACTGCAAGTAGACCCAGTGCAGCTACAACTAAGACGAAACTCCAACAATTCCACCAATACCAACATTTGTCGAGAGGGTACAATTTTAGTGTAGTATCTGTCATGAGTAAGAATAGTTCAGTTAGAGCCCACATGCATGAATATATCTGAGCAAATGTAATAAATATATAATTTCTCTGACACATTAATACATATATGTATAAACGTTAATATCAATATTAACCATAAAAATGAACTAAATTAGAAAGCAGCATCTGTACAAAACATTTGAATCGAATATATTTGACAGATGCATAAGAAAGTTAAAATCTTTTTCACTAAATAATTCTAAGGTAACTTTCAACGCTTTTAAGAATAAAGCCTCATGATAAAATAGTTAAGAGATATCAAAATAATGAATGTGAATTTTCTTCATTGTCAGTCAACGACATTTTGACTAATTTAAATTTCCTGGATGATTTAAACAACTCCTTACCCATAAAACTATAATCAACGTCTTTGCTGTAGACGCCAAAGTATGTAGAAAAAGGCCACACCGAGGTAAATCAGACAATCGTCTGGAGTGCAACATGACCTCAATTGAAGCTGTTATTTTATAGCCTTGTGCACCCAAAAGCGCCAGTTGCATGTTGGAAAAAACGTATGTAGAAGTGGGTATGTCTTCAAGGTGCACATGAACCATACTCAACTCACCACTAACAACTTAGGGAAAATGTGTCACTCTAGTTGGAGCTGACAACAGGATTTTATGACCCAAGTACCTTCAACAGGCAACACTATTTCTGAATAGGAGATCATGCTGAATCCTCTTTTATGTAGACGATTGCGATGAAAAGCGTCTTAAATCCACTCCAAAAATAACGAAATCGCTTTTAAATTCTGGTCACTAACCATTCAATTATCCTCAATAGTTGTGTGAGAGAATTGAGAAGGTGGGGATGAACAATTAATCATTGTTTACTGCGCTGTCAGTGAACAATTATCCAAAGTTGTGTCTCAAAATGATAATCGTGATCATGTAAATCTTCAAGTTTTGCCAATTAATCCAAGTTTGTCATTTGTTGATCAGATTCCTTGTCAGAACAAACATTGTCATAAAACGAAGTGATCGACTACGTGGAACAAGGAACAGTAAGCTTAACTCATTACTTTTAATTTCTAATAAAAGGAAAGTTATTACTCGAAACCCTTAATGAACAATTTGTCTTCTAAGAGAGGAAGTTGCATGGATATCTCCCTCATCAAGTTATATCGAAAATGTCGTAATGAATAAAGATGGAAGGAATTAGTTCAGAGTAGGAGCAATCTCTAGCACCTTTACCATTTCAAATTACTCGGATGAATCTGCTTCTTATTTACTGATGGATGCATCCATTCCAAGTGAATAATTTGTGTTAATTAGGACGTAAGATTTATGTGCATTTTCCAGTTTCTTTGGAAGTATTTCTCTAATGCAGTTAGTCAGAAGGACTATTTTTGTGCAATAACTAGGCCATGTATTTCATTTATATTAACTGCTTTTAATTTTTTAAAGCAGCATTTTGATAGTGAGAGAGTCCTGTTGGCGTTTCATTATGTCAAGTGATGCTTTTAAAGTACTCAAAATTTTTGTAAACATTTCTTACAGCCCGGAAAAGTTATTTCTCAACCATCCTCCTCCATCATTGAACTTCTTGGCCTGAACCGTGAAACAGAAATTAAAGAATCCCACAAGTCACACATTGAGTACATGCATACTGAGGGCTTGCCCTCATCTTAGGTATTTTCGTCTCTGTATATTTCCGTTGTCATGTGTCAGAGTTTTGAATTGCACTGCCAGCACAGCTTTGTCGACTTCCAATTGTTAGTCTCCCTCTACCAACCTGTGATCACA